AGGGACAATGTGTAGTCATTTGGATGGGATGAAAAACAAAGGTCCTGTGTACACATTGGTGTGCATGTAAAAGAACCTTTGGCAATTAGAATTCGATAAAAGAGTAGGCTGCAGAGCCCCTGTCCGAGCAAAATTTCCCTCAGAGCACATCTTCATTAGCCCAGCAGGATCAGAACAGTAGAACATTAAACCTCATTTCATTTCAAAAGCTCATAATGTCAACTTTAGAAAAAAATTCACAATTGATTTGAATATAATTGCCTAATTTGAGGATACGAATTTGAAAAGTTTAAATCATTATTGTAAATATCAATAACACTCTAATACTGGCTTAAGATAAAGACATAGAAAATTTTTGCTTCAATAACTCAGATGAATAGATGTTGTGAAATACTGTTTGTGAATCATAATAAAATCATAACAAAATCGAAGTGAATAGGATAGTATTAAGAATGTATGATTTCAATTAAAGTTTTCCAATCTGGTTAATCACAATTTTATCATTAATAAATCTCTAATGTGTCATACATTCTTAACATTTCATATAGCCACTGCCCACTAAAATATCCTACGACCTTTAGGGTCACTACATACAAGTCATTTTCAATCAGTATAATACCTACATTGTCCACAATGATCATATCAAATCATCATATACCTATTATTACCTATCTGACACAATAATTTGGTTCTATAAGATAGTACTTTTCATTGTAGTCTCATTGATATGGTCCAACCTTTCGTATTAAGCGTTTGATAAAAACTTCTTTTAGCACCTTGTACGCCTACATTGTATTGTTTAGTTTTTGGTATTAACCGAGATTTATCAACAATGACCATACACCATTCTGAAACCTGGATTAAATCCAATATTGTACAATAAGGCATTATAGGAGTCCCTCCTTTTATACCGTTCGTATGCAGGTGTCTTAACGACCGTCGGTTTAATGTTCCGGTATTTTGAACGTGACAGAAATCAATTATGAAACGTGGTTTGTCTGCTCCAAATATGTCATACTCTTTTTGTTTTACTGCAGAAAAAATAAATGACACCATCGTCCTTTGGGACAAAGACAATTTTCAGAGAAATTATATAACTAGTTACTCTCTTGAATAGGAGACATTTGAAATGAATTAAATTCTATTGGCTGCTTTGAGGAATATGTCGGAGGACTGGGGATGTGGTAGTTCATCACATAGAGCAGTGACCACAAAGATCCTTAATGGAAATAACTGTATATTAGTCTTAATCTGACCAAGGTCTTGTGTAACCAGATGCTAAACTCCAGTTGAATCCTTTTGCAAAGTCAATATCATTTCAGCATATTGTTGCACAATTCCAGTTTGTGCTGAGGTCATTAAAAGTACTTCAATAGGAGGCTTTCTGTGAACAAATCATGACCGAAACTAATTGTCAATGGAGGAAATCTAAAACTCTTAGTGATTTCTCAAAGTTCAGCTCTGGTTCAGGGTACACATCCATCTTAGATTGAGTAATGATGCCTAATGATACAAATTGCTTACATACTGCAATGCAATACATTCACATCACCCTGTAAATCAAATCTATTAAAACTGTCAAGTCTCCTTTACCCAGACTGTCCACCCTTCTATTCATCATTTTTTTAATGGTCTGAAAAATTCAAACCACTTGAAGTTTTCACTATTTTACACTAAACCAATAAATCATCGCAGACACACCACACTTTAATAATTAATGCTATGCCTCTGACTATCTTAAACAATTTTTTTAAAAATAAACAGGAGATAAAATTTCTATAAAGAATAACTTAGCATTTCCAATTTATGAAAACAGAAGCCATATGTGTGTAATAACTTTCTATTTTTAACTCATTTTAAAAAACAAATCCCCATATTTCAAGTGAAATGTTTTGGCAGTATTATCTTATTACACCTAGATTAATGAGACATTGGATAAATTGATGGTTGTTTTAATTGGATTAATACTATTTGTCAGAAAACAATATCATTCTTTTATCTTTTATGATTAAAATTTTGTAACTTTCATGAAAGAAACTACATTTACCACACGTTTTACTTGTCAAAAGAACTTTACAAATGTTATAGAATGTACAAAAATGTTTAATACTTGTCCAAACGACATCCTGAAATTTCATGTACAGGTATTTTATTCAGATTAAGGCACAATATTTCACATACAATAAACAGTAGTTTTTACCAAAGAGCATATTGTTTGAAAAATGATCAAAATTGTTCAGTCATAACCTTATTTTAATTTCATCATGTCACCACTGAAGAATAACCCATTTGGTCTTATCCATGAACATCAATGTCAAGTTGGTATCTAACTACTTGGTAGATATTATGATTTAATCAGCTAGATTGCTATTGTAGAAAACCCTTCTATTATTTTTTGGGTTAAATTCAAAACAAACCAAAAGATAACACCTCATTATTTTTGGGGTGGGATTTAAAACATGCAAAAAGACTACTAACTTTCTGGATCTTTGAGGTTTTAATTGACATTTAATATATAAAATGAAACAGAAATGGAATACACTTTATTTGTCAAGAATTTATCAGCAATAAGTTGCTTTTGCCAAAAACAATTATTGGTGCAAATAAAAATTATGAACCCATTGCATCAAGTACAAGCTAAAATACACATGTATGTAATTTTTGTAAAGTGAAGCCAAAGTTTGTTGAGATTTTATCTGTGCAGCAAGGCGAATGGTCATAAACCCGAAACATAGGAAAGAAAAGTATTACCTAATGACATAGATAAGGAAAGTCAGAGGTTAAGGAAGGATCTATTTAGAGTAAAAACAGAATAAAAATGTCGGAGTTAGTTTATGTGGAATGATTGATGATTTGTTGGGTTATTTACTCTAGAGGTTAATCTATTACAATATGTCTACCTTTAATAACAAATGTATTGTCTATAGATCATCCTAAACTATATCACACAGCCATTCTAAACTATGAGAGAGAGAGAGAGAGAGAGAGAGAGGGGGGGGGTGGGGGGGCTTTAAGTCAAGTTAATCAACCTTGACTTCTGAAATCCAAGTTTAAACTACAGTCGGTGGAACACTCAAGGCAAAGTATGCTTGCTCTCTCTCCCTCCCTTTCTCTGATTTCCCTCATGTCACATGACTATCATTTATACTTACAGGAAAATCACATTAAACTTGGATTTCAGAGGTTGATGCCACTTGGCAGAGGCAACCTCAGGCAAGGAAATAGGTAGCAGCAAACATTACCAGCCAAAATTTGTTAACTATTTAAACTTCCCAAATAAACAAGAAGTGGTATCAGGTGTTTTAGAAAGTGTATGCATTCTCTGCCTAGTGTAAAACACCAAATTTTATCTAACTATACAGTCTATATGCTGAATTCCTGTGTGGTTGATTGTGTCTGTGTTTTGTTGGCAGTCATGATTAAGATGGATGACAACCTTTAATATACTAGATCACCCTACAGCCACATGTTTAGCATAAAAAAATACCAATAATAGACATCTTTAAACATTAATGTACACCACAAAAACAAAAAATCAGCAATCATGCATTTCATGATGATTCAGATTATTTTCTATTTATTTAATATATAATCAAATAAAAAATGCTTCTTTTATAAGTAATCAAATGATCTAATAGCGTGTCTACTTAAGATGATGACATATCGTGCAAACATGATTCAAGTCGTCATTATTATGCAAATTTGCGTAAGCCACTGAAAGCGAAAGATCTTGACCCTAAATCCTTTGTATTTGGTCATATATTCAGTGTCTTTATGTATTGATATGAATATGCGTGAGATAGTGCAATTTCGCAATATCAGTAGGTGTGACATGATTTATCTGCATGTTGGTTTACTTGAGCCTATAATTTGCTACCTGGAGTATTTGAATAGAAGGTTGGTTACGCTACTAGCGACCACTGAGGAGCTGGATTCAAAATTTCGAACATTAATAGCATAGTATTATATGTCAAATCATTGTACAACACAAGAGTTAAGAAAGTTCAAAACTTGCGACTCTTAAGGAGCTCAATCAAAGATTAAACATTAATAGCATAGTAAAAGATGCCAAATCATTGTACAGCACAAGAGTTAAGAAAGATCTGAACTGAACAGCTTTTTATAGATCTGAAAGAACATATGTCTTAATCTTTTAAGATTTTTTTTTCTATTGTTCTTCTGTGAATATTGACAGTTTAACAGTCCATATCTGTTTTACTGTTCAATATGTTTTATAGAAAAAAAACACAACCATTAATGAAATACAATGGGTTGGAGCAGGCTTGCAATCTGTTGAAATCAATAGAAACTATTTGACAGTACTTAATGATGGTTCGTGATAACTCACTGTAGTAATGAACAAAAGTCATTATATTTGTTCATATATTACGCTTGAATTCAACTCCATTCAAAAGACAACGACGATATCTTGAACATTTTCTATTGTGTTATTTTGGTAACTGAAAATTCTAAACCACAAAAAACGAGGTCTCTATTGTATCATTTGGTAATCAAAAATTCTAAACCTAGAAAGCCTATGTCTACCTTTTTCTTCTTTTGTGCCATACCAAAAAGCCAAACCACAGAAATTGTACCACAATAGCTACATATTCATAATGTCTCATAAATATCATTTATTAGTGTATATATACCTATTTGGCTATTTCATACGGTAGGTCCCTTTCATGATAGATCTGTTCATTATGCAAATATGATTTCATATATACAATAGAAATGTCGTGTGCTTGAAAGTACATTGTCCAACTCAATGTTACTTACAATAAAATTCAAGTCGTAATATTTAATAAAAGGTAACCCAATACCTACTGGCAGTGATCCTTGACTAAAGCTGTTCAATCAGTGAAACTTTTGCTTAAATTAATGTTAATACCAATATGCATAGATCTGTACAAACTTATTCTAAAACTAATAATTAGTTTAACATGCAATAAATTAATAGAAATCATGATATAAATTTGTAAAAATTTTGTAAAACTTACAGGTATCTTTCAAAAGTTTTCTCAAATCCTTGAAGAAAATTCAAACAATCAGGAATTAAAAATGCAGCTACTAAAAGATAAGTTCCAAGGATTTTTTCATAGAACTATATAAAGCACTGAGTTGAACCGTCTTTAATACAAATATAGTTATATCCTCTTCACTGACTTAACATCACCTTACAAGACACTACTATCACTGACTGTCTTAATACATGGCTGGCTGTAAATACAGGCAAACACCAATACTACTACCACTCTCAGCCCACAGCTTTACACAGCCCACAGCAGAAAGTGTGAATGGGTCCTACAGTCAACCAATGAGAGTCAGGCGTTTTTCCGGCAACAAGTCCCTTCAGGCAGTCATATGGCTATTATGATATCCAATAGACCGTGGAGAACTTCTTCTAATTACTACAGTACCAGCCAATGGAAATCCCTTAATAATATATTTGTTAGAAAGAAGTGGGAGACATTGAGGGATAATGGGACCAAATGTATGCTTAAGGGATAAACTTATGTTTTGAACTATATGACAATTCAACGGTACACTTTGAACAGAAATTCTTTTCTATGTGTGCGATATGTGTATGGATAGATCAAATAATACCTATTTACTCACTTGTCAAAAATTGATCCCCCTACCCACGGTATGGAATACGCTTATATGATTATTATAAAACATAACTTATAATTATCAAGATCAAAACTATTCATATGTTTGAGACACTTGATTTGTCATTAATCATCATTTATCTGTTAAGATAGATAGATAGATAGATATATAAATAACATATAACTGTGTATTTAGATATGTAGATATTTAATACTTATTGTGTATGTAATAAGTTCAAAGAGAGGGGCGGGGGGCACAAAATGCAAAAACTATTATAATGCATCTTCTTTGGGGCTGTGAGGGTCAATCCCTGTCAGAAAATATATTTCTGGGAGTTGAAGAGAAAATGATTACTGTCGGTCGAGCTTAATTATGTTAGTTACTTAAAGTGAAAAAAATGGGGTTTAACGTCCATGAAACACAAACTTGGTGGGACTAACATATGGTAAAATGATCTCCATTTGACTTACATGCACTTATTGTAAAAACGGTGGATTTTGACACGAGAAAAGGGTCTGAAACACTGAATATTAAATCCCAAGTCAACTACATGTAACCTTTAAAAATGGTTGTATAATAATTTATGTAATCATTTGAAAAAGGGTAGTATCACCCGAAACACTATGAAGAATAAACCACCTCTTATTGCAACTTAAAATCTGTTTCTACTATCATGTAACATATCAACTGATTTACAGAATAATGTTGGCCCTTTTCTGTCTCTTGTTATTTTCCTTTCCTGTTTAGCACCACCATTAGAGAAAGAGTTAGCCTAGCCATGGCAGTGCCATCGAAACAGTAATATTAGGTGCAAAATATCTTGAGTGAATCAATCTCTCAGCTAAGTAAACCCACCAATCTTCTCATCGATGGTTCCAATAACAAGTGGTATCAGATGTTACCCATGCATGACTACTGGCATATATTAAGAAACAGGGTATGTATGCCTACTTTGCTGGGAATCACTAAACATGGCTTGAAAGGGATTAGTCAAAATGTTTTAAAAACTTAATTGAAGTTTTTGTTTTTCAGAAAGCTACAATTTCTTGAAAAATGATGCAAACTTTGGAAAAGGCCAGATATTCAGAAAACAAATTAAATCAAAAAATAAATTCCTCATATTTTCCAATAAAAATGCCTGGGTTACTGAAGCAAGAAGAATGACGTCTTTAGTGAAGAACTATCAGAATTTAATATAACAAACCCCTGGTTCACACCATTCAAAGATACAAATCAATCAACACTTGCACATGTTGGATATGATACAAATAGTGCAGCCATTAAAGACCGACATCAGCGCAGATTAAAAACCATTGATCAAGCGTACAGACAGATGGGAACTGTTTAAGCAAAACCAGAGACACCCCAGTGAAATTACCATGAGACAAATATGACCAAGGATTATCCATTTAGCGGCACACTTCACTAATTTACTTGACTTGAGAATCAATTTTTGACTACACTAGAGTTGAAAGGGGAGTAAGGGGTAGAGAGGTTCACCTCTTGTTGGACTACTGTAAACCTTCAACAGTTTCATCAACTTCTGTATTGTCTACTCTTCTCCCAATGTAAATATGTTTGAGGTGGCTTCTTTTAGAGTCAGAAATTAATGATTGACATGTTTGTCTCTAACTTTTAATTTCAGAAAAAGGTTTATTATATACCCCATCTTCATTAGCCCAGTATAGGACATTAAAGCTGCATTAGGTAAGATTAGATAAAGAGCTGACAGTTCTCGCTATAATAGTTAAAAAAATAGATAATGTAATGGGAATGTGCTGAAAATTTCAGTCAAATTACTTCATTCTGAGCCGAGAAATACTCATTTTAATAACACTGTAGCCTCGCTTGTCATTTTACAATATAAGCAAATCTCGTTTATCCACTATTATTTTATTACATCCATTCTCTGAAAAGAGAATATGCACTTTATTGTTTTCAAATTGTAATATATTTTTTTTACCATCATTGAAGAGTGCCCACCAAGAGGAAATGAAATGAAATGGGGTTTAACATCCTACTGTTCTGCTCCGAACTGGGGTAATGAAGACGGGCATACGCCATACAGTGTGCTATGAGGGAAACTTTGCTCGGCCTACTCTTATATCAAATTCCAACTGTCAAGGGATGTTTTACGTGCATGTCAATTTGTACACAGGACCTCAGTTTTTCGTCCCATCCAAACAACAAGACAGCATTTCTTGTCAGGCCCTCCGTCCTGCATCACTGACAAGGGGGAACCACGCCGGAAAATCTGGATGAACTTCCTCGGCCAATGCAGGGATCGAACACCCGACCTCCAGGCTAGCGAGCCAGAGTCTTACCCACAGTTATTACTGTGTCTTCAAATTTAAAATGTTTATTGATATCTTACAATGTCTGTGTTTTCTCTCTTCAAGCCAGGTTACCTTTTGACCGTGGTGCAGGGCTTTGCAAGGAAAAAGCCTCTGGGTCTTGGTACAAATTGGTGTGCAAGCATGCAAAATAAAGAACCCTTGGCTGTCGGATTTTAAAGTCGGAAACACCTGTCGGGACCAAATTTTCCTCAGAGCACACTGCATGACATATGCAAATCTTCACATGACCTATGCAAATCTTCACTAACATGGTTGGCGAAATAAACTAGGACATAACACCCCATTTCGTTATATTTTTGTTTCTCCTTTTGTTTATTTTAGTTTGTCTTTTAGTTCTTCCTCACTTAATGTTAGACACATTTTTCAATAGAAGCCCAAGATTGCACAATGCCAAAGGATTAGATTAATTATATGTTAGACATGACTTTTCTTCCGCAACTGGCTAATAACACCTGCGTAGGGGTTAGAAATAAATGCATTCTTTTCAAATCCTTATAAATCAGAAAATTATTTACTTAAATAAATGTGAAACCTCAAACCAGAAACTGATTAACACAATTATTACTAGATGACACATTCTATCGAGACGCTGTATCCACATGCCTGTAGATATTGGTAGATTTTAGTAAGTTTACGTGAGATAGCACGATAAGGATTTTACGGTAGTTAAAACCAAGGGATCATTCGGATAAGGTTAATCCGATAAATAAACACTTTTAGTCATTTTGAAGTTATCAATAAACTGGCCATGTTTGATCCAATTGCTTGACAAAAGGAAGTAGATTAGTTAAGGCTGAGTTAGTTGAAGAGCCCACCTTGAGAGTTAAAACCATTGAGAAGAGATTAGGTATATACTTGATATACGCATGTCGACAGATCTTCAATACCATGATTAAAATGATTATCTTTAATTAATCCTGTTATCTCATTAGAAAGGATATGAACTTCATATTACAAAGCTTGATTTTTTGTTCAGGTCAAGTTTGGAAAAGACAAAAAATTTGAACAAAAAAAATATCTCCAGCCTAATGATAAAGAGACAATTCCTGTCTATTTAGGACTGAAGATAAAGTTAAAATTCTGATATATTTAGTAAATGCAATGATTTTTAGCAGTAGCTTGGAAATGAAATAAGATAAATTACTTAGGAACCCTTGCAGTTTTATTAAATTATACCATTATTTTGTTCTGTTATATGCATCCTCAACAATGGATTTGCCTGAGATTTTGCGTATTCCAATTTAAAAATCCTGATGTAACTTCATGTTAGATCAAAATTATACTTTTGCTGACTGCATAATCTAATTGTGTTTGGAGCATTTCAAAATCACAATACCTGTGACAAAAGTTTTTAAGTCGAACTGGCCATTGTCACATTGAAAAATCAAGTTAAAATGGAATACATTAAAAAATACATCCAATTTGGGGGAAATCAACCAAGATCAACACTCACTTTCTTGATACAAACACTTATTTCGGGATTGATAAAAACAATTTTCTCTTTGAAAGATCTAATTATATCAACATTCAGAGAAAATCTCCCCAATTTCCCAAAAGAATTTCAACCGAGTCTCTCGCAGTCAAAGCTAATACCTTACCTCAAACCCGATTACATCTATTGTTACAACAGTCAATTAAACAAATCAAGAACTAATTGTGTTAGGAACAAACACACAAGCAATCTGATTATAATCTGTAGTAATCACAAGCACCCAGCAGGTAAACTAGTCAACAATGATAATGATCAAACCTTAATGCAAATCTCTTTAATTCCATCATAACAATGCTCATTTCGTGTAACCAGGTACATGGCTAAATCCATTCAGACAAAACAATTTAAAGTAAGTAGCAATAATGTTGGTAAACTCTGGTTGTCAGTGGAGCCATCAAGACAGACAAAATGGCCAAAGATCAGCCATAATGACATAAGAAAAACTTCAATTAAGACAAATTAAGTTTAATCCCTTTTTTTAGAAAAATCAAATAGAATTTTTGTGGGTGAGTTTTGATCATCTGTGGAGTTCTTCAAGAAAAGAAGAATCTTGACGATATAATAAAAACTAATGAGATCAAGACTACATTTAAACAGCAGTTTTTTGAATACTCGTCAGACAATTAAAGTTGATTCCTTCTGATGTTAAATTCACGGTACAAGATCAAAAGAAGTCTCAATTCTGTTTCATGAAGTTAGATAATCTTTGTCCACCTACTTGACTGAAAGTAAATACTTGTTCGATTTCTACACAATTGTTTTAAAATTCAAAATCCAGTCAGTTTGTTTTCCCAACACTTTCAAATTGGAATCCAGAT